CTGCTGACAGCTGTATTTTCCTGCATCTTCTATCTTCAGGTAATGTGTTTGCCTTTTGGTACAATCTTTGCCAATGCTCATTGCATTCAGCAGCAGGTGCATGCCTGTGTCCTGGCACTTCAGGTTGTAGCTGAGTGTTGGTGGAGACTTGGATCACTTTCCTTTGCTTGTTCCTATAATATAATTGTTTGCTAAGCATTGACTGACTAATGTTCAGCCCTGATTTACACTAGTGTGTCAGTCAAAGTTGTCTAGTTTTGCAGGTTGCCATTAATTTATAGGAAGGGAGGAAGGGAAAAATGAAGATCCTTTTGAGAACTGAAACAAAGGATGATAAAGAATGGCAAGCTGCAGTCTGTGAGAGCACTGTCTTTTTGCAATTGTTGCACTGGTATGGGCTTGAAACAAACAAACAAAAAATTAAAAATCCATGTTAAATTTAGCGTACGGAAAATCCCTTGTTCTCTGAAATAGGCTCAGCTTCCCTTAGCACTCTTTTAACCCTCTGCTTTCACACCAGGCAAACCACTTCATCTTTCAAGGTGTCTGGGTAACGGGAGGTGTTACTGTAAGGGGACCTAGAGTGTGAAATTATTTCTTCCTTCAGCTCCATGGGGATTGCCTGTGTATGTCACATGGTAATTGTGTGCCAACGTGTGTGCAATTTCACACTTTGGTTTTGCTGCAGCCAGCTTGTCCATCTGTCCATACCCTCTATGAAGAGGAGGAGCAGCTGTCTTTCGTACATCACACTTACCTGTTGGTTGTGTCTGGGATTTTTTGAGATTGCAAACCTTCCTGACAGGAAATCACAATTTTCTGTGCCCCTGACTTTGTGTGGTGGAGTCTTTAAGCTCTCTGTGCTCCTGTGGAGGTAGATCCCGTTACATCCTTCACATGAGTGTGGGGAGCTGAGGTTGTGTTGTTCCTCTTATAAATGGCCTTAATGAAAAGCACAAGATGTTCTATAAATGTGTGGCTTGTCCAGCTGTTGACTGTGGCTTTTCAAGCTGGGGAAATGTGTGTCTTCGTAAGTGTAGAACATCCTTCAGCAGCTGTGCTTGGTCTTTATTATAGCTTTTTCTTGTGACTGAGAGAAAAATCTTGCTTCTTGTCTCCCGGAGTGGCTCAGAGAGCTTTATGAAAGGTTAATCTTAGCCTCGTGTTAACACAGGGGATCTGGGGAGATGAAGGTGAGTTTGGGTCCCACCGAACACTCTGGGTGTTCCCAGCTGGTGGCATTTTCACTGGGAGCTGTTGAAAAAAGCAAGATCAAAATCTTAATCCCTCCTTATAAAGAGCTGCCTCCGCCCGATGCAGTGCACTAATTCATCCCTGTTAATAACTGAGGCAAGCAGTATCAGTAAGAGGTACTTCTGGCAGCTGGGGCTGCCTGCCTGCAAATCCCTTTCCAGCTTGCTGACATTTAAAAGCCAACAGTTAGTCCCTGTTAGCCATCAGCTTTGTTTGGAACAGGATGGAGCTGCTTTATATGCTTTCTCCTCCCCCCTCCCCAGCCCCACTAATCAGCTCTCCAAGGCTTTTTACTTTTTCCTTCTCCTTGGTCTGTTGGGTGATGAAAACAGTAGCTGTTCAGGTGAAAGGGAAGGGAGTTCAAGCTGCCATTCGGAGCTATGGTGGTTGTGCTGGAACTCCCTGTTGTAATGTAAAAGAAGGCACTAGGGGAGAGGCTGAAATAGCTGAGACTTGTTTCTTGGCCAGGGTGGTGGAGTGCTGCAAGGATGTAACTGTCTGATGAGCAGGGCTGCTTAGGTTGTATCAGGTCTTTTCTGGGCCCTCTTAAGGTTGTATACAAGTGGCCTCAGAAGACTTATGCTGTGGATTTGGTCCATGCTCTGTTTCACACCGGGGCCCTGACCTCCTGGTTGTCCACATTACAGACATCTTAGTTTGCGCTTGTGGTACTGTCCACAGGCAGCTGAATACTTCCCTTGGTGAGGAGCAGGGATGGGACTGAAGGAACAAGGGGGGGGCCCCAGCCGTAGAAGCAGCCTGGCAGCAGAGCTGCCCTCCATTGCTTGGCCTGGAGACCAGGCTTGCTCCCGGACTCACGGTGTGAAGGCAGTCCTAGAAACCCCTTGGCTTCCCAGTGTGGAGCCAGTGTCTGCTGGATGGGACACACTTGAACATGAGCAGGGCTCTAAAGTCACACTGTCCTGCTGTGGCTCCATCCCTGTGTGCTTGGGCTGTACTCCTTCATGTAGGTTTGGATAGAGTAAAGCCCCGGGAGTGCTGTCCAGGGCCCCATATCAAATCCTACAGGGATTTCCTGCCTGGAAATCTGATTTGCAGCTGTAGCGTGGTGATTTGGGAAGAAGAACTCTCTGCAAACTTATTCTTCTCTCCCAGTCTCCAGATTTATGCCACAGGGGTGAAGATGGTTTATTTTCTCTGCCCCTCCTCCAATTAAGGAGGAAAAGGTGTTTGTTTTTTCCAGTTTCCCTTGACAATCCCCAGGACTTTCAAATAAAGTGTCCTAAGCAGATGAAGTGTACATGGTCATGCTACCTGTGTGTATATGTGTGGCAAGGTTAGAGATCCTCAAAATGTGCAAGCCTGCATGTATTTTGTGAAAATAGATGGGCGGAAGAAAGACCTGCCCACATCCCAGTAATGTGGCAGTGTGACCTCAGCCTCCAAGCACTAAGGAATCGGGATGGGAGGGACCCCTTACCAGTTGCCTCGTGCAGCGTTGTACCCAGGAATGTGTGAGAAGCCCAGCCCTGCTGCTGCCAGTGTGCAGGGGCTGCTGTGATGGCCCCAGGCTTCTCTCTGCAGGCTTTTGGAGGAGCAGTGGCTGTTGGGTGCCAAGTGCTGGCCGAAGGTTCGGTGTGCAAGAGACTGGTTACTCTGAAGGAGCAAAATGTGCGTTACAGATTCTCACTGCTGCTTGTGAGCAAGCAGGACATTCAAGTCAGCAGCTTATTATCTCTCAGGACAAGAGAATAGTTGTGAGAGGGAGATCCAGGCAAGCTGCCTGGAAATCCTTGAGAAAAGGTGCAAGGTGGTGTCAGTGTTTCGCAGTGCCCGATGAGAGAGCTGCCACCCATCCCTTGCCTGTACAGGTGGTGCCTTCTTGGAGCACAGCATTGCATTCCACAGGTCCACACATTCCGTTCTTGGACCTGGGCATTTCCCTCAGCTGGCACAAAGTCTCCACACCCCAGGGCTGCAGCGTGTGGTGATGGTACAACGTTGTGTCCACAGCTTGATAACTCGGAGGAATAATGCTGAGGTGCAGTGGCCAAGCTCATTCTTGAATTAATGCTGGATTTTTCTTCGGTGGCATTGCTCTGGCTTTGTTCCAAGGATGCTGCCCTGCAAGAAAACAATTAAACATGGTAACAAATTAATGAGTCTGATTCAGCTCAGCAAAGATACCATGCTGGTAAGATCGTTATGGTTGATTATAGCTGTTTTATCTGGAGAGTTGTAACTGTACGCTACTGGTGAGACCCAAGAAACATAATTGAGAGAAGAGACAACTGTATCATTTTGGGGGGCTCTCTAGCATATTCCTCTGAGATTTTTTTTTTGTTTTGAATACTACAATGTCTTATAATCCATTGTTTTATGAATAATACTTCTGTGGGATTCCTTTTTACCTCATGGTTGCAAATAGTTGGATTAAAATAAATAACTAGAAATAGCCCCAGCAAGATAACGCTGGGGAATTTGAATGATCTTGACGTTAACTTGAGACACAGTGAGAGAAGCTGGAGTTACGCTGTAGCTGCAAAGTGTCACCCAGGACTGGACTTTCCCTTGCTCCAGAGGTATTTCAAGGCCCCCTGCCTTGAGTCAGCCTTGTATTTCAAGGGTAAATCGAAAGTTGTGCTCCCAAGCAAAGAGCCCCTTCACAGATGAGAATCTGGGCCTTCCTGTTTAACACTTGCAACTAGGAGGTTGGCAGCGGGTCTGAGATTTAGGCAACTGGAGTGGTAAGAGGTGCAGACGGAGGAGCCGGCACTGCAGGCTGGATCTGCCCGCCTTTGGCTAGCGAACACACATGCTTCGCCGCTGCCAAGCCTTGCTGTATGGGTGTAAGTTTGGCTGCTGGCTCTGTAAAAAGCAAATTTCCTCTCTCTGGCTTAAACAGAAGCCAGCTTTTGGTACCAAAGCATGTGCAGAAGTGGCTGGTACCTCCCTACACTGCTTGAGGCACGTTTTCTGTTGCTGCAAGAGACAAGATCCTGGGCAGATAGACCTTTGGTTTGTCCAGCTTTGTCTGCACTACTTTGGATGTCTTTATGCCATGTAGTTGCTGCTACCTGTTTGCAGACTAAATCTGTGTTTGCGGAGCCTTTGTTAAAGGGGTTGTTTGCTGCTGTCCTCTTTTTGGCAGGCCTTGGATAATGAAGTCCCTGTGGATGTAATTCACAAACTCACAGCCATTGACAAGTGGTTCCTGTATAAGATGCGCAGCATTGTGAACATGGAGAAGATCCTGAAGGAAGTGAACAGGTAAGGAGAAACAACAGTCTTGTCCTCGACTGTAATGATCCTCCTGGGGATCCTTCTGCTGGGAAATCTGTGGTAAGTCCTGAGCACGGATGCAGTCAATGCTGAGAGGTTTAGTTCAGAGCTTGGAGTAAATAGTGTTGTCTTGAACCTCAGTTCACTGCCTCACCCAGACAGAGGAAATTCCTGAGAACGCTCTTTTTGGTAAAATAACTTCTTTGAGTGCTTAGGCATCTTGGCTGTTGTCAGGGATTATGGAAGTTGTGGTTTATTTTGGAAGATCCTCACTCTATCTCTCAGGCTAAGGCTGGGAATGTGGATGGCCTGCGAGGAGTAACACCAGGCTGCACTCCTGCACCTAGGACAGGGTTGGCCTTCAAACACAGGACTTGTCCTGACTTACTGCACCTGAGGATCAAATACGCTGCGGGTTTTTTCTGGCCTGGCCAATTGATTTTGAAGCTCTTCTGCCTTGCCGTGATCATGGGCTCTGTGTTGCTTTTGTGCTGCGCTTTCAAACATCTATAATTTCAGACATATTTAAATATAAATCTTCTTCTTTCTTCAAGAACAAATGACTGTATAAAACTAAGCAGGAAAGATAGCAGTAAATTGAAGTGCTGGGATGTATTTCAGTTCCAGCCTCTTGGTGACTTGAGCTTTCCCGTCATGTTTACGAGTTGGGAGAAAGAACCTTGCTGAGTTACTGGCGGTACTTGGGGCGGCTTTTCTGCTGGGTTCCCGTTGTTTTAACCGCCTTCCACCGCACGATGGCACTGGGAGCGCACCGGAGCCAGGACATCACTCAGATGCTCGTTAGTTCGTCTGCTGTGATTGCTGCTGCTCTGACCAGCTGCGCGGTTTTAATTGAGCAGCTCTTGCTCTCCCCTGCCCCCCGGAAAGAACTGGATCTGGAGCTAAACAAAAATAAATGTGGAGAGAGATGTCGAAGAGAAGGAGTAGCTTGATTATTTACAGAAATCTATTGTTTGGCAGCACAAGTTTTTGCCCTGTAACATCATGTCATGTTGCATTTGTCTCGAGTGCCTTAAATATATATATATGTGCAGCTCTTGAGGAAGGAAAGCAATGTATCCAGAATCAGTTTGATTTCCTCACTGTTGGATTGACACGCTCTGGAATGATGCACTTGGGACCCCAGAGGCTGGCCCCATCCTCAGCTGGTATAAATCCAGTGTCACTCCACAGAAACTGATCATGCCAAACTGTCCTACATTAGTGAGGTTGCCTTCTCTTTCTCTGCTGTGGGTGGCAGGTGATAACACTACGGGTAATGTGATCAGTAGCTGGTACCATCCCACGTAGTTTTTCATCCTTCTGGTGACTAGGCAGCAGACTACATAGTGGGCCTGCTACAGCAAGCCCTTTTTCAGCATCCAGCCTTGCCTTTGGATCAAATGCAAACAATGTTGTGTCGCTTGTAAGTGGATCTGTGCAACTCAACTCAGATTGCAGGTGGTATAAATTAACTTGGTCTCATTCACTTATCCGTGCAGATTTTCACTCCGACATCCTTACTCAAGCCTTCCCTAGGAAACTGTCTTACCTCACAACCTGCATTGGAAGGAGAGGATGGTGTGTCCAGCTGCATTGTGTTGAAGGCATGCTGGCACAAAGGCAAAGAGCCAGGGAAAAACACTTCTGACCTGAACTAAGAGACTAGTCCAGTGAGGCACATCAGGAAACACATCTCTGCAATAGCCGAGGGAAAGCTAATTGAGTGATGCAAATGAGACTTGGCACACGTGTGCGCTTCCTGCAGCCAGCTGTTTCCAGTCCCTGGCATGCCTGGCATGAGTTTTACCTGTGCTGCAGGATTATTTCCACTTGAAAAGAATGGGCTGTGACACCATCATTGTTTTAAATCTTTCTGTTGTTGAACTACAGTTACCAGCACCAGTAGTAGTTGCTGTTTTCCCAGGCACTGTCGCTGGTTACAGGCTTGCTCTCCGTTCAGTCAAATCTGTCCCTTCCTTTTGTTTCTTGATTGGTTCTAGGGTTCTTTGCAGCCAGGTTTTGGGTACAGCTGGAGTAACATCTCTGCCAAGAGTCTTGATTTGGGCCCTGCAAAGCTGTTGTAGAGACTGGTAACAAGGAGATGGTCTCTGTCAAGAGGAAATCTAGGGCTAGAATAAGTGGGTATGACAGACAGATGGGGAAGGGGGATCAGAGGCAGGTGGAGGCCTTTGTGAGCAGTTCAGCAAGCAGCGTTCACACTCTGGGTGCTGCCTTGCGTCAGAGGCGAGCTGAAGGCCTCACCAGTTGATGTAGGGAATCTGTTTCCATGCATGAATGGTTGTATGGGATAATGGTACGGGGAGGAAAAACCTTTCTGACCTATGAATGTTTGTCTGTTCTTAGTGGTGTGCAGGTAAGGCCAGCTGTCTGCAGAGACAGTAGAACTGGGAAGGGCACCTTCTGCCCCATTTCCGTTTGTCCCAGCCAGCTTCTTTCCAAAGAAGATTGGACCTGGTGCTGGTGAGACTGGATGGCTTTTGTCATGCTGCAGCAATGATCCCATTTGACTCTGCCTCTCGGCCCTCTAAGATGGAGGAAGAGTTGTTTCAGGTTGTGTGATTTGGCTGCAGGAAAGCGAATGGCCTGAGCTGAACTGGGAAAAGAAAGCCATTTTGGGAGTACTTGCAAGAATATGCAGTAATATCACACGCACGTCAAACATGTGCCTCTGCTGTTTCTCCTGTGACCTACATATTTTTCATTTTAAGTGGAAACTTACATTGTGGTTTTTTGACTGACTGCCTTTATGCCTTCAGTAATGTAATCTTAACTATAAGGAGGAGAATGTGTCCTTGCTCTACGGGCAGTGAGTGAAAACACCTCCTGGCCTGTGGTTTGCTTGAAAGGGGTAGGTGCAGTTCTGAGCATTACTTTTCTCATTCCTAAAGAGACACAGGTTAACAGAAGGGAAAGCAGAAAAAAGTGGGAGGGTGCAGACCCACTTCAGCCCAGCATTTGTAGCCAGGTGCTCTGCTCAGTGGCCCATGGAAGAAGTTGTTTATTGTGAATTCCTGCCGAAGCTCATGTCCTTGGGTCTGTGAAAGGTGTGCTTTGAAAGCTGCTTGCTGGAAGCATGACTTGATTTCAAAACACGGCTGTGGTGGAGCAGCCACAGAAATGCAGGTGCTGGAATGAAAACCCAGCTCGAGCAGGTGACCTGGGAAGCTGTGCAGGGAGGGAAGATCAGAGAGGCCATCGATAACCTGTGCTCTTCCCCAGCAGTTGTTGCAAAAAGCAGTGTTTCTGCTGACTGCCGTGCTTCGGGGCAGGTCAGAGAGCGTAAGTCACAGCTTGGGTGGGCGTAAAGCAAAGCAAGTCCAGTGACACTAAATGAGGCTGCACTGATTTACTGTTTGAGGAGCTGTTGCTGACCTGTTGGTAGTACTTGCCTTTAACTAACTGGGAAGATTACTTTTGCCTTCTTTGTGAACTGTGGGGCAGGGAAGACTCAGGAACACATCAGGAATTCAGTACATGAGCAGAATATAATATAAACAGCGCTGTTGTTTGTGCTTCGTGTGGATCTGACATAAGATGCTTGTCTTATAGAGCCATTGGTGATAATTTCACTGCTGTATTTTCTTTTGGAGCATCTGTACATTTGTAAAAACGCAATGTACATTTTTTCCTTCATGCAGAGGTTATACAGGCATCGCCCTTTAGAAGCCATTGGGGAATCTCTGTAAATAATATGTACAATACCAGCAGCAGAGGAGTCGTACCATGGCATCCCAGCAAAGACCTCGAAGCTCTCTTTTACCAGAGGTAGAAAATAGGCTTTGAGGAAGCAGCTATGGCTCGTTTCTTGGCTGTGTTTTTGTGTGAGCTGCTGCTTCAGCGCATCACTTAATCCGAGGTGTGAGTCATGTCGGTATTAGGGCACAGTGTGAGGTTCATGTTACTTAAATCAAGATGTCCACAATGAGATTTATTAGCCCAGGGACCTGAATGTTAAAGATGCAGAGTGCCAGAGTGATAGTTGTTCAGTGACCGAGATTTGTTGGTTTAAGCTCCTGCTTCCCTAAACGCTCCTTTGACAGCTTTTTGTCAGTCATCTCATGAGCTTCTCAGGAGAGGAAAAACGGTGGCAATCTGTCTCCTTGAGAAGAGAAGCAGGCGAGAATTTATACACCGATCTCGTTATTTTAATTGTAGCATGTTCAAAATCTTGTAAAACATCAGGAGCAATCAAGGAAGCCACTAGGAGCCTTGAAGCAGAGCGGGACAATGAGGAAAACAGGAAGAATATGTCTTTGTGCATAATCCAGCCTGAAATCAAGTAGGCTTTTGGAACCCGCCAGGTCTACGACTACTGAGAAAGGAAGAGCTCTCTTAGGGCTGGGCATTAAGCATTTTGGTTGCAGTGCACCTTACTGTCGGTCCACTTTGCTTGCTGTAGAGAAGCCGTAGTCTGGGCTTAAATCCTGCCTCCCCAGATTTAGGAGGACCTGAGTTCAAGACTGGTGGGCTGAGCCAGAGTGTGCTCATCTTTGCAGCCCCTCAGTGTGTGTCCAAGCCACATGAACAGCTGCTGAGATAAAGCAGAGGTTACCTGCAGGGGTGAGCCTGTGGGCTTACAGGAAAGATGTTAACCGATGCAGTAGCGGTGTCCCAAATGCTTCCAGCTCAGGCTTTGGCCCTTGGTTCACAAAATATTCCTGATCCTTTTGATCAAGAACCACTCACATGCACCTAAGCCATATGTGGATGGGCATAAACTTGACAACATACCTAAAATGAAGCAGAGCCTGATTTGGGAGGCAGGAAAAAGAGTGCTTCTTACCATGTCAAGCGGGGGCTTTCTGCTGCCGCGTGAATTTAGCGTTGCTCCTAAACTGGTGGATCAGATGAAAGCCAGTCAAGTGGAAGAGAGGGCCGTGCTGGAGCGAGCAGGCTCTCCTGGTAATTGCAATGCTGCCAGCGTTCCTCCTGTCACTTAATAGATTTCCCCAGGTCCTCTGTGCCAGGTGAAAATTTCCTCATTAAGGGGAATTTACTCCACTTCCTTTTATCGTTTATTATTGAAGGAGTGAGTGGTTGGTGTTCCAAAGATGACGGGGTAGAATTTTAAACAAAAAGCAACAACAAATCAACACTGGAAGCTGAAACGGAGGCACAAGCAAGGTTTGGGAAAGGCTTGTATTGTTTCTATACTGCAAAATGTGCAGGGGACTTTAGCTTTCCAAGGAAGTGAACAGCCACTGAATGATTGTGGCAGTGTGCAAAAGTCTAATCGTCCGGTTTTGAAGCTCTAAAACTTATGTCTGTCATTTTGCAAAGGCGAATGTTAGGAAAAAGGAGCGTTTTTGGAGTCTAGAATCATGGCTACTAAATCTTCCCTTGTTTCGGAATTGATTATAAACCAACAAGGGAGTTTAATCTTTGGAAGACTTTTTGCTTTGTGTTTGTAAAGTAAGTGATGCTCCAGGGGAAAGTGGGAGGCAGTGATGTAGGACTGGGTCATGTGTTTGGGAATAGCCAGAGCAGAGAATGTTTTTCTTCTTTTTTTAGTGCTGGATTTCTGGTGAGCTCTTGGAAGGGTTATTTGCACTCAAGCGTTCCAAGAGATCAGCCTGATTGTGCTTTTGCTGGCTTTAGTGTCTCCAGCAAGTCTAAAGGGCTGTCTTTAAGCAAAGGCAGTGGGAATGCTGGATCTTAAAAATCATCACCCCCTAACCTCCGCGTGTCTCAGTTTTGCTATCTGTAAGATAAGTATCACCCTACCATACTGTTTGCATGTTTCTTTATATTCTTTCCATGGAAGCTGAGAGATAAATGCTAAACATTACCCTTATTAGTAAAAGGAAATTATCCAGGTATGAAGACGTGTGTCCAGTGCATGAAGAGAGGCAGCCTGATTTCCATGCCAGTGCTGAGTGTTTGCAGCTCTCTGATCCCATTCCCTGTGAACGTGGTGGAGCAATTCTGCTGGCTTACTCTGCCTGCTCCTTCTGGTTGTGCCTTCGCAGTCCTGGGAGCTGCGTTTTGGCAGTTTCTCATCTCCTGGCAGATTCTGGTTCCAAGAGCTTGGAAAGCAGCACTGCTGAGTGTTTGACTCTTTCCAGTTTTCTGTGACAATATCTTTCTTACTAGCCACACTGAGAGCTACATCTCTTTTCTTTACCATACATTGGAAGGAGCAGAGGAAAAAACACACAGTTTCATTTCCCCTTTAGGTACTCAGCTTTTCTCTTGCATACTGGTTGTCCTATACAAAATTGGTTACTTTTTTGAATGGATTAGTAAGTGTCCTAACCTAATTTAAGCTGCTAGTCCAAGGCAAATGGATCACGTTGCCAAATAATCACTGCTTCTCTTCTACCCACCCTGCTGGGGGGGGCTTTGGCGATGAATGATATTGTTATAATGAGATACAAAAACTGAATTGAAACAAGCTGCAAATGAAGGCAATTTTCTTTCTCTGTCAGTAATCAAATGACAGCCAGCTATGTGTGTTTCTGAGGCAGAAGGGAAGGAGAGCAAGGGAGTAAACTGCACTGAAACAAGCTCATTTTCTTGGGGTCATCAGGTCTGCTTGCTCATACTCAGGGAATGCTGAATCTGGGAGAGAAATCTAACGTGGCTGCGTTCTTAATAGCTGGCGACAGCTAGCATCTGTTTCACAAGAGAATTGGCAGATTTTGCTTACTGTGCTTCCCCCTCTTGAGCACCCATCCATGCCTTCAGTGCTGGAATTCACAGTGTGTGCAAGAAGTCCTGCCTTGGAGCTGAGATCAGAAAGTAGAAAGGACTGAGCAGAAGCAGAGGAGTTTTGTGGTGGAGGCGTTAGTGCATGGGAACCGCAAGCTTTAACGTACTGCGGTGCTGCGAAGTGAGTCTTATTTTGGGAAGTCTTTCTGCACCCAGAAGTAAACCCAAAACCTGGGAAGCTCAGCCTGCTGGATCAGGCAGAACTGTTTCTGACACAGGAGGAGGATCAGGATCGCTGAAATAAGAAGGGTGATGTGGTGGAGGGTTGTGGAGAAGATCAAGGCTGTAGGTGAGACTCCTGCCTGGAGTCCCGTGAGGGCAGAGCAGGCTGGTTGTTAGTGCCAGGCTGGGACACAGCGAGCGCGGAGGAGTGTGGTAGTTAGGGTGAGCCTTCCCTTTCTGCAAATCCTCGCTAGCTGTCTGCTGTGCTATTGCAGGCAGGTGGAGCACTCTGTTCTTGCATTGCAGGGGAAGGAGAAGTGGCATTGGGGAATTCAAAGAGGAAAACCTTTCTACCCAGGGATCTGAATCCAAAAGTTTCTGGTCCCCAGTTCTGCTCTCAGAACAGCTGGTTTGACATTTCTGTGACTCTCACCTGTTTTACGCTAGCCTGGCTTCAGCGAGGGCAGCAGAGCTGCTCTGTGCCTAAGCCACAGTGGAAAATCCAATCCAATGACTCTCATGCTTCAGCTTCCTGACACATTCCAATAAAGCGGCCTTACCCTTCTCCTCCCACTCAAATAGCATAATACTGTTTATTTAAAAATACCATCAAGCAAAGGACATAACTCAAAAGCTCTGATTTAGGAAAATTGCTTGTTTGTTAATCATTTCCTTTTTCCTGGTTCAGAGCTTGCTTGCTCATAAAATATTGATTTATTGGGCAGGCAAGGATGCTCTTGGCAATGAAGATGAAAAGCCGACGTGCTGATAAAAATACATAGGCTTTTTTATGTTTTTGCAAAAGCTAAGGTTAGAAAAGGTAGCTTAGAAACAGAGACAGGCAGAGACTATAAAGGCTATAGGTGGAGTCAAAATAAAGTGGAACAAAGATAATGTGGGAGAGAAGAAAGTGGAGTGCATGAAGGGGGAATGGAGAAGATGAAAAAATCAAAAGCAAAATGGGCAAGAAACTGTTGAGCTGCAGAGATGGCCGAGGAAAGCAATGCATTTGAAACAAGCAGCAAAAGCTAGGGCTCCTGAAAAGCAAAACCAGGAGAACAAGAACGTATGGAAGTGTGGAGAGACCCTGATTGCAAATCTGATATAAAAAAAGGTGCCCCTGCTTTATCTGTCTATCACTCTCTCCTCGTTTTCGTAGTGCAAGAAGCAGCACAAATGATACGGAAAAAAAGTGTAGTTGAGACTGTCAGAAGGAAAAATCTACCTTGCGTGTGAGCTTCTGAAGGTCGTTCCTACTATGTATCTCTGAAGGCAGATGCTTTTTCAAAAGGCTGGCCGTTTCTGGAGGTAGACAGAGCATCCTCAAAGACAGAAAGAAGGGCTCGTTTGGGACGAATTGTAGTGTACTGAGGCAAGTCGTCCCCCAGCTCAGCAGGGTCATGGGACAGTTGTGCCTCTGAACGGCTTGTCCCAGAGCTTCAGGAATTTCGTGCCTTTGTGTGGAGTTGGCAGCTGTGACAAGAGGCAGGAGATGCGAGTACATACATAATTATTGATCCAGCCCAGTCTGGTGAGGCCAATATTTTAAAATTTAGACTGGGAGGAGGAACGTAAGGGAGAGATTGAGTTAAGGTTTGGACATGGAGATGTGGGGATACTGAATCCAAGAGAGGAATCACTGCAAGTCCTCCGTGGAGGCTGTAATGGTAAATGACCGTACAGTTGTTGTGGATACGGTGACCTTGTACTGGCTGCATGGAGAATGCTGCCTGGGAGATGAAGGACCTCGTCATCAGTCACTCATTCTTACCTCAAAAATGCAAGGAAAGAAAGTGTTTCACTTCCTAGCATCAGCAGTCTGCCTGTAGACTTTCCCTTACAGGTGTTTGTGGGGAGCATCCAGTGCAAAAAAGGTCTTTTTTTGTATGAGGATTGTGTAGCTTGGCTGGGTCATCTTCCTGTTCTTGCCTTCATGTGCATGATCCTGTAGCAACTCCATGCAGTATGGAAGACACAAGCACTCATGTATCTTCTAAGAATTCCTGTAAAGCCTCATGCAGAGGTGTTTTTCTTATTTAATCCCAGTGAAAGCGTTCCAGAAGAGACACTGAGGAGAGCCAAACAGATCGGGTTCTCAGACAAGCAGATTGGGAAATGCCTGAGGCTGACCGAAGTCCGGTGCCGCCAGCTGAGACTGAGGAAGAACATAGTGCCCTGGGTGAAACAGGTATGTGAGAAACGTGGCTGTTCGTGGTGAGGGCTTCCACGACTGCAAGGAGCAGGAGACCTCCATGTCCTTAGAAACAGCTGAGGTAAGCAAAGTGGAACCCCTGACTCTGTTAACATCCATGGGAGTTTTGACACTGATATTAGAGGAGAATAAATTTCACCCACATAGCTGTTACTTCTGCACTGCAGGCACCAATGTAATGACATGAACATCCCTGAGGAGAGACTCAGAATACTCTTGTTCATATTCCGTGTGACTCAGGGGGAAAAGCAGCTATCTGGCTTCAGGAAAAGGCTGAGAATGCTGGCCCACCATGGAGTGACCATGAAAAGCCTACTATGTCTTTTCTCTTGTAGTAACTTTTTACAGGGTAATACTTTCTTCGAAGTGTGCTGCTGTTATGGGTTCATTTGCTATTCATTGTGATAGCACCAGCGTAATGAGTTCATCTAGTATTCATGGCAGTGTCAGGAGTGCTTGCTAGGTGTTCTGCTGTGGTCTTTAAGGTGTGTTGGTATTAAACTGCCACCAGCTGTATTTTTGTCCTTAAAGTGGGGGGGAACCAAACCAAACTACTGAATGTTTCTGAAAGAGCCCATCTGTATCCTCAGGCCCAATTCCAGGTCCCAAACCTCCTTCTGTTCCCCAGCTGCTGTTTTCCTTCGGTGTCCTCACCTGGCCCCCAGAAACGTGCTTGGCCTTGCACTGTGTTCTTTCAGCTGCATATGGCACTGCAGCACTGGATTGATTTGAGTGCCAAGGTACTCTTAATAAGGTCATTCTACTTACACCTGCATTTGTGGCTCGAAAGCATTTGTTTCTCCTTGAGCCATGAAGTACAAGTTGCAGTGTGAGCAGCAGTAACGAGCAGCAGACACTTACATCGTGCTGATGACGTAAGGTCACGTTCTTCATTATTCGCAAGCGTTTGGACAGCCAGTGGGGATTCCTGAAAATACCTGGACAGTTTTTTAAATGGTACAGCGTGTAAAAATTTGTGTCAAGACTGCTTTAATATTGTTCCCTGTTCAGTATAATGTGTAGAAATATTTCAGCTGTTCATTCAGGGAACTTCAGCAATTGCTGGTGACCTGGATGAACTAGTTACCACGTGTAACATGCAATAAGTAGTTGATGTAAATCGTTTGTGAGCAGCCCAGTAGGCAAATTATTCTTCTGGACTCTCTGCTGACTAATTACTCAAGAAATTGTTGAAAACTACATAGAAGGAGTGGTCGAAAATCACTCTTGCTTTGTGTACCATTTAATTATCAAAGCACGAGTTATATTGTAACATAAATAAGTAGTGCTTGCACTGCTGGCTGCTGCTTGGCATAATCTCAAAGTGATATTGTGTGCACGCTTGTGTTCAGCGTGGGAGTAAGATGGGGTCAAGAGTATAGAGTGAAGATCCCGGGTGGAACAGCTAAAGAAGACAGGAGACCTGGAGGAATGGAGATCTGTGTAATTAATGCTGCCAAACTAACTAGAGAATGAAAGTTCCCAGGTTGTGGAGCTGTTTTACCAAAGAGATGTGGAGCTAAAACTACAGCTTAGAAAGAGATGGTAGACTCTCCTGCTGGCTGAACTTGTAAGGTCTAAGGGGAAGGCCAGGCATGTGCTGTGTTGCCAGAATATAACGGTTCAGATCCCCTCCTTTTGAGAAAAGACATGATAGGAAAATAATAGGACAGAAATAGTAGTAGAAAAGGAAAGAGGGAAAAGAAAAACCCTGAAACAGCTGCATGTAAGAAGGATCTTGCACTGGGCAAGTCGCAATCCCTCCTCTTCTTCCCTGTACAGATCGACACACTGGCAGCAGAATACCCAGCGGTAACTAATTACCTCTACGTCACCTACAACGGGCAGGTAGGCACGTGCAGGAACAGCAGCCTCATTGCTGCCTGGTTTGATCTCTTTCCCCTATTCTGCGTTCTTTCTGGAGATTTTGCAGATGTCTCAGTTATTACTATGTCCAATTATTTTGGATGCTGTTACCTATAATCTCCTTACAGCCGGCCTGGAACATTCTCTTGCTCAAATATTGATCCAGTGCATTTAGTGTTAATGCCTCTGTGTTGTTATGATCCTGTCCTGCATCACCTGTACTTGCATCCTCTGTCACAGGTCAGGTGCTGGGAATGCAGAACTCATGTTTCACTCGTCTCATCCTGGCATTCCCAGCTGAAACCAGGACAACAGCTCCTCAGGCAGCTGGAAGAGCCAAATCAGAGGTGCTGTGTCTCTGTTGGTTTGGGTGCAGCACCTCTGATTCCAGTAGAGTGGCACTTGATTTGCACTGCAGTAAACGAGATCAGACTTGAGTCCTGAGGGTCGGACTGTTGGATATGGGCTGAGAACCAGAAGCTGTTTATTCTGAAAGCACGGAGTTAGGTGCTGTGGAGTACAGATCCTAATGACTTTTGTCCCTCCTTTTTCAGGAACACGATGTAAAATTTGATGACTGTGGAGTGATGGTGTTGGGCTGTGGACCATATCATATAGGTAAATCTTTCTTACAACTCCTCTGTTCTCCTCACACCCTCGAGCCTTCTTTGGATATTCTCGTGGTTCATTTGTTCCTCTTCTCATATGGTGACAAAACCCTCCAGAGCACGGTGCACAGGACATCAATTCCTAACACAAGGTTTGCCTTTTACACTTGCTTGGAGACTTCATTTCACACCCTGGAAAAAAAAGGAGGATTTTATTACTTTTCATTTGTCACTTAGTTGTGATTTCCACAAAGTTTTAGGGAATTTTTTAAATCTTACTTTTTGCACATGTTAAGGTGGTACCTTGTGTAGAAGTTTGTTGCTGCCACACCTGTCTCCTATGTTTGCTGCCAGCTCATGGCTATATTGTTATATACTGTGCGTTTTACTGGTGTAAGTATAGGTGACTATGAAAATATTTTGATATCTTCAACTGCTTTTGCATAAGCAATTCTCTGCATGCTGTTTTTCCAGCCCACTCAGATGATTATGCAGCATAAGAGCTTCCTCATAGCTATGAGTATTGGGTAGACAGACTGCTGAATTCTTTATATGATGACTTCCAGTTTTTCTTTTCAGGGATCTTTCCAAATAGCTTGCAATTATTGACAAGAAAAAAAAGAATTGCTTGTTATTCAGAAATATTTTTACTCCGTATCTCACAAGTAGCGGTGACGGTTTCCGAAAGCTGAAGTTTAGAACCGCATCTCTTTGTTTTGCTTGGATGGACAGGTCACGTGCCACGCTCCTGTTGCTGTTTGTAGGATGTGTCTTTTTGAGCTCAGTTTCCAGGGTGGACATTGAGATGAGTGAAATCAGGAGGAACACTGCACGATTGTGCTTTTTTTTGTGTGTGAATGCCCCTGCCAGTCAACATACTGCGTAGCATGGTTGCAAAAAATGAACGTGGAAAGGGTGGCAGTGCTGTTTAGTAGTTGGGTCGAATGTGTGTGAATGCACGTTGCACCCTTCACCTAAAGCTCCTCATTGCTTAGATTAGCCATGCAGGTCTGGTCTTGGTCTAACCAACGCTGCAGAACAGGGAAGACCAAGACAATCTTTGGAAGAGGTTGCAACTAAATAAAGTCTGCTGAAGGAAACCATTACTTGCACCTCTAAAAGATTCTTTTTTTCCTAGGTGCAATAGCCAAGTTGATTTTTTTTTTTCTTTTGTTATCCTTTGAAGGCAAGTAAGTAGTGTGCTTCTCCTCTATGCTTTCAGAACTGTAATCCTAATTCAGTGGGATCAACTTAGTGTTCCCTGTGGATTTACGTATACAGAACAGGAACAGGGCAGAAAAGGGCTAAATTATTTGAATGGAAGTTAAACACATGATGTCACTTTTTCTTTCTTTTGTAAAACAAGATTATTATTTCTTTTGTGAAAACTGAGTTTTAGGTTAAAAAATACAACCTGACGAATTTTAATTGAAAATATTTTGAAATATATTACAGGAAAATCTTGCATATATTGACACTTTTGCAAAGAAAATTATTTAGAGGAAGTGTGAGGTTGTTTCAAAAGTCATGCTATATTCTGTATTTAAAAAAATATTATCCAGATTGAAGTGTCTTTTTTTTTTTTGAAGTTTTCTTGTTAGCTAGTACACCAAACAGGAACATGATGTGAATTGGTACAGCTGCACACCCTTGAGCTCCAGAGCTTGCTTTGACACCCCTCTCACGCACATGCAAAGGCCTCTGGCTCCCTGAGAGCCCGAGCTGCGGCGTGACCTGTGCTCCGTGGGAGTATTGCTCAGATGTTCAAGGCGACTTGCTCTTCACTTGCTGCCAGGAAAGTTATCTCCTGTCTTGGGAGGGAGTGGTTTTTGTGTGAAAGTCAGCCCTGAAAGCAGTATAAATGAGCTATACCACCAACTGCACGGACCAACAGAGTGCTCCGTAAATTTTAAGGTGTGCACGTAGATTTACCATGATTGAAACCTGAAAGTGAGTTCACAACCATGCCTGTATATGCAGTAATTATCTGCAGAGGAGCAGTGTCTGGTCATGTTGCAACAGTCTTTGCTAGCATTAGTCATTATTTGCTGTCTTCCCTTTTCCCGCTGTTCGGACATGACCATTACTGGATGTGTCAGGAATACACTTGGAAGTGTTCAGATGTTTTCCCAGGTTGTGTCTGAAGCAGTCACATGGGGACTCCAGCTGACCATTGTGTCCCAAAGTTGAGGTTTCTTATTTGTGTAAGAATACCTAATAATGGAAGGGAAATACAAAAAGCGAATAAACATCTGGTGACCTTTCTGGGAAACATCAATTTCAGATTTGATTTCCCTCTCTTTTTTGTGGAGTTTTAGGTGAGGCCTAGACATGTTCTGAGGTTCCTGTTTGACAGAAGTAGGGAAATAAATTGTGTGCCCATCAGTGAGTGACCTGTGGCAGCCATCTGTTTGTGACTAGGTGATGAAGGCAGCAATTAAGCACAGCCTGAATTTCCAATGTATCTTGTCACACAGTTATATATAAAAATAATGATATCAGTGGTTAACGATCATGTAATGGTCGTGAACACATCATGATGAGGCCAAGGTTTTCCTGTAGTCTGTAAGCATAACCATTTAATGATAGTTTTTTAATAGGCATCATTCTCTGTTTATGGTACCCCCCTTAGATATTTGAGCATAGGAATTTATGGCACAGTAGGTCTAAGTCTGGACTCCAGTGTTGCCTGAAGCCTGCAGTGTTGCCAAAGTCCCAAGTCTTGCAGCTTGCTCGAGACGAAGCACCAAGTTGTGGTGCTCACCCGAGCACCAGGTGACTCCCTCTGTGCCTCTTTCCTATAGGGGTGGCCCCAGTGCTTACTCAGGGCTCAAGGCAGTAGGATGTTCTTACCCCACAGTGTTGCCATAGTCACTGTGGCCTTTAAACCAAGATGAAAGGATCAAAGAGTGGCTCTAAAAGCGATGTTCTCCTGATTTGCCTGATCTAGAGTCAGCACATAGGAAGGTCAAACCCACTGAGTTGGAATTTTTCTGTTGTTGGGTTAGCCATGCTCTGTTCTTCTGGAAGTCAAAAACCACTTCAGTCTTCTGGTTTTTAAAGCACATCTGTTCAAATGCTTCGTGTTTCCTGGAGTAAACTGCTCTGCCTTATAACAACGAGTATTCAGTTTCGTCACCTCTAAGCTTCTGCCTCTGGAGTTTATCTCAAAGCATGTTGGTTGGGAGGGAGCAGTAGCTGGATGGGCAGCAAGAGCAGACATGTTTATGAGAGCAGGATGACAGACGTGTTCCAGAGGCCTGTCGCTCCCGAGCAGCTGAGCCAACTTACCTGTTGTGCCTGGAGGCTCGTGTTTGTGGATCATTAGTTTCCACGGACGGACAATTAGATTTCTTGCTCTGAGCTGACAGGAGGCAATGCTGGTTTTTTTTCTTCTTCTTTTTTAAGCTCAAGTGCTGAGAACGCCTGTTTATGTTTTCTTCTCTGCATCTTTCCTTTCCTTGCCCACTTTTCTGTCTCCTGGCAGGCAGCAGCGTGGAGTTTGATTGGTGTGCTGTCTCCAGTATCCGCACGCTGCGTCAGCTTGGCAACAAGACCGTCGTCGTGAATTGCAACCCGGAGACAGTGAGCACAGATTTTGATGAGTGTGACAGACTGTACTTTGAGGAGCTGTCATTGGAAAGGATCCTGGACATCTACCAATATGAGGTAAAGAAAAGCAGAAGCACAATAAAAAGCCACGAAGCGAACCAAACTTCTCAAAATTCATGTCACTAGCTTGCTTTGGCGGAGCAGCTGGGGGCCAGGGGGGAGAGCTTGCTAGCAAAAGCTGTTTGCTTTGGCTCCCAATGTTGCATTTTACACATCGTTGATGTTCCTAGCAGACTGCTCAATAACGAATGCCAAATAAATATGAAATTATTTTGCAAGATGCCATATTGTGCAATATTTACAAGCAGATTTAATTTGCTGCACAGTCATTTATTGCACAAATTGCTGTGCCCTTGCGGAGCTGAGCTTTAGCACTTAAGCATATCCTTGGCTTTAAGCACAAGTACTCCCCATGAAGCAGTAGAAGATGAACGTGTGCTCAGGAGCTTGCAGTCTTGGCCTTGCAATGCAGTGGCAGTGTGGTGGGTGTGCTCCAGCGTGCAGGCAGGTCAGGAAGAGGCACTGGAATTGCCATCCAACTAAAACATGTTCCAGCTCCTGACCCAGACATTGCACTTGCCTGTTATTTTCAAATGTTCAGCAGTGCTGATACTAAGAAATGGAGACAGGTTTGGTAATGGGAGGATATATAATTTAACTGTTGTTCCCAATATGGAAAATGTTGATTTCTAACTGGCAACACACTCATCTTGGATTTGTGGCTGAGGCTTTCAAAGGTGCTTACAGGAACTTGAAATTCAGTGTGAGTTGCTGAAATTCCGTTCACGTAACTTGCTGAAGCAACTTTGCAGAACCCAGGTCACGTTAAACTTTATGATTTTTCTTGGCTCTTTTTTCCAGTATATGATGATTTCAGCTCATCTGCCTTGTGAATGAATTTGGTGCAAGTTTATAAAATGGTTTTATAACCTGGCTACGTTTTGACCATTCCCAAATTTGGAACCAAGCAAAAGCACATCAGAACTCAAGTCCCAGTCTCTAGGCTCTGTTCGTAAACCATTTGCAAAATACTGTCTAGGGCCATTTTTAGATTGCATGTTCATACTTCCCTATTCATACATGTTGTTTTACCTCCTCTTCAAATTTTCATAAAAACAGAGGCTGTTACTGGAAAGCAGAGATTTAGGATAGGCCAAAAGACTCTGGTGGCTCTCTGGAGTCTTAAAGGCTGATTTTTTTTTTTTTTTGAATGCTTTGGGATTTTCCATGAGGCTTAGCTCTGTAAGCATTGAACTCTTGTTTACTTAAGCAAAACTACACTTCTGAACTTGGGGCGTGGAGGAGACTGGTGTAACAGTTTGTCAGACAAATAACACTGATGAAACACAGCATCTAATTACTGCAGGATCAAAGAGAAGGTAGAGGTAGGTGATGAGGGAGCAAGTACTCATTTAAACATATAGTGCTGGTAATTAGCAATCGGGTGAGAAAAATATGTGAAAAGAATAATGCATGCATATTGAAACTTGCATTATCCTGCTTGTCACAGCAGAGCTTGGTGAGGTCGATGGGAGGTGTTGCAGATCTCAAGGTCTCATAGCAGCATCCTGTGGGTACCCAGAGCTGAAGGGGAAGAACCCTCTGTTGGCAATTTCCCCAGCTCAGCCAGCCGTGCTCATCAGCTGGGCTGTGCTCATGCTTCTGGGTGTGTTTTCGGCCTGTCCTGCTGGTGAAGTAAACCAAAAAGTGATGGTGAGAGGAGAGAGGGCAGGGAGGAGGCAGAAGGAGCTGAGGTGGTAAGAATAAAGAGGGGGAGAAGAGAGATGCTGGGAGTTTGCAGAGGATTCTGCTACTCTGACTTGGGTGTGAAAACCACCAATTTGATGTTTGCTCTGGAGGTATTAAAGCCACCAGGGTCTGAGCCTAAACATCCAGAGTTAGAGTTGTGTTGTCCATAAATCCTGAGATGAATAATAAATACTCAGCTGTTTTAGAACGCTTTTCTTAAGCAGTGGCAAAAGGTAACGGTAACATTAAGCCTAATTTGCAATTAAGGAAAGTGAGTCTGAGGAGTAGAGAGCCTGCACAGTCGTGCACAAGGACGTAGGCAGACCTGGGGACAGACTCCAGACCTCCGGCAGTCTAAAATATATTATTTGCTGTATGCCATTTTTTAAAACACGAGTGAGCCAAATGCTAATATCCTGTTAACAGTAGACTTCCTCAGGCAAACGCAGTTGGAAGTCAGTCCTTAAGGAAACGATCGAGTTAAAAATTCAGGATGTGATTCTGAGATCCCTCACCTACCCCTTCAGATAACCATCTCTCCCAGCTTCATATGCAAAGCGTGAATAACGCCATGGTTTCAGACCGATCTTTGAAACTCTCCTGCTCATTAGCCTCCTCTAGTGTTCCAACGTGCAACGAACAGTGGCCAACACTGGAAAGTCCCGGATCATTGGCAAACCGGAGGAAAAACCATCAGCAAACAGTGGACACAACCCTTTACCCCCAGTAGAGATGACACATCAAGTCCCTAAACGATGTTAAGCTCAGCAGCAGACCTTGGCCAAGGATTAAGCTCAAATAAATAGGTGCACTGACCTGTCGCAGTTTTTCTGATTGGACACATCAGGCCACGTTGAGGAACGGGGCTACCAGTGAGACTGAGGGGGCTGCAACTTGCCTACCAAGAGCTCTGAGCTTCACACAGTCCTGTCCCAGGGACGTCCTCAGCTGTCCCTCCTCTTCCTCTCCCTCTCCCTCTCCAGTTGGCATTCACAGCTGCTCTGACTCACCAGAGACAGCTCTGCACAACAGAGCCGTGCTTTGGAGGGAAGCTTCATTTACTGCCAAGGTGCAAAGTTAGGTGGTACTCTATGAGGACAATAATTTAAAAGAAAAAAAAAAATCCTTTCCTTCAGATTTATTCTCTTTTTGTTTCCAGAGATGATGTTCCCTTTTTATTTTAATCTCTCTCTGCTTGAGGGCCTCTTCTGATTCTTTTTCAGTTTCTAGGATCATTCTGAAACAATTCATAAAACTAAAGGAGGCTCTTAGGTACAATTTTAACGGTCTAATTTGTTTTCAAACTCAGGGAAAAAGATAACCCAACTCTATTACTAATGACATAAAAGCAAGGTAGGAATAAAAAGTGTGATTTTTGTTATAAAGGGGAAAATAATTCTCTCTAGGCATCTTTCACCTGATTATGTGTAGTGTGTATTTTAAAGATATCTGGTGGCCAGGATGTTGTTCATTTTCCTTATAATTAAAATATGGCTGATGACAGAGTGATATGCAGTGGAGTCCGTTTCTGTCTGCCCACATTCCTCAGTGGAGCAGTCCTGTTCCCTAGCAGGGCAGCAGGCTTTGGGTGAGAAGCAGGCTTTGGGAAATAACAGCAGAATTTTAAAGGAAGAAGTCAGCAGCAGCTGGTTCTGGATTTGTGGTTCTTTTTGAGTAAAAATGAGTATGTGATTCTTTGCTATCTGCTTGAATAAGCCTCCTTGGGGCTGGAGTCCCCAGCGCCATCCCAACTTTGATGGAGGCAGTGTTTAGATTTTACAGGCTCAGTGGCTCAAGTGGTTTTAAAGGAAGGAATAAGGGCCAGCAAAAGAGAAGCCGTTAGCTGGGACAGTCGCATTTCACATCTGTTGAGGATAGATTAAGGTGCTTGACCTTGGCAGCAAAGGTAGGTTGGCTTGTTATCAAACAGGAAACATTGAAGCTGCAAGAAGGGGTTTGCTTTATTTATTCACTGTCTGGTTCTTGTCCATGTGGGATAATAAGGGATCCAGGGACTAGAGGTAAGTACTGTATTTTGGATAGGTCTGGAAGCAGTAAGGAATGGAATTTTCTTCTGAGTTGGAGATGGCAAGCTCCGATGTCATGAGACAAACCCCTGTGGGCACAAAACATCCTCTGTCCTTGCTCCACCCTCTACTAATGAGGCATTTTCCCCTCCCTGCCCTAAGCTCTTTCAGATAGTTGCTGTTGGCCAGCAGCAGCGTGTCATCCCATGAGTGACTGCATGGTGAAAAGGAAAAAAAAAACACAACAAAACCCAACAAAACTCCAGCACTGTATATTTAGCAGCAAATAATAATCTTGCAGACCTTGGGATAATAAGTGCTGCTTAAATGCCAGACTTTTTTAGTGGCTTTTTATTATGGTATGAAATTAACCACATTAAAGTTGAGCAGGGCTTGTGCTGGCATTTATCATCTGCTTTTTCTCAGTTGCTTCTAGTCCATCCTGCTCTCAGCTTACAGATCTGCCGCTCTAAATCCCTTTAAATCCCTCATTAAGAAGTTCCTCTTCCAGGAAGGCCAGTGAGGCTAACCTTCTTCAGGAAAAACACACTTGTTAATTAAAAGAGCATTGATACTCTTAAAAGATGGAGCCAAACCATGGATCGCTTGATTTCTGTCGCTCGTTTGTTAGAGGTGGGCTACGCTGTGTAAAACACGTCTGGTTCAAGAGAGCCCTTCACCACAGCTGTACTGTGGGCCTGATTCTCCTTTGGGCAAAGTTTCACCAGCTTTAATTTGGAAGTAAAGTGCTCATTATTTAATTACCCTCAATTATTACACAATCTAAACATAATTCACGTCCTCATAATTAGTGCAGGTACTCTAAGGCTTTTTTTACTACTGAAAATTTGCACACCAGACTGGATTGTAGCTGAAAGCATTAGGGGTTCTATGTAAAAAAAAAAAAAAAGCCCATATTTGCACCTGTAGAAGGATGTATGTTTGCAAGTGAGCTCACTTGTCTCTTGTTACTTGCTGATTATTATTTCCTCTCTTAACATGTTGTGGTTGCCCAGTGATGAACATGAAATGTGCCATTGTGGCTGGAGGATGCTGTGCCACTGGTCCTGCCTCAGCTGCTTCTGGAATTGAGTCACTTGCAAATAGCTTGCGTCGAAACGAGCACGTGTGACAGTTTGGCTGAAATTCTTGTCACTATTGAGTGCAGTACCAGAAGTGAGGAGCTAGTCAGGAATAATGAGGATTAATTAAAGTAAAGGGCTAAGTGTGTCCGGAGCGATTCGCCACCACAGGCTGTCTGATGGATTGGGCTCTGTTGAACAAGACTCTGCTCGGCTTTACACAGGCCAGCACTCCTTAAAGGCTGGCATCTGGGGCCAGGAAAGGATGTTTGCTTAGCAAATAACACAACAAAGAAAAAGAATTCCAGTTGTTCCTGTTGTCTCTCTGTTGAGGGTTACTGCCTTGCAGCTCTGTAGTAAAAAAGGTTTGTGTGAACGTCTGCTACTCGGGAAGTCTCTGACGGTGAGGTTGGGAGAGGCTGTTTTCTTGAAAGAGCTGGACTCAGAAAGGAAAAAGAGACTTAAAACATCATCTTTGTTCATGCTGCTGGGTCTAAAGGTAGGGAGGTGGGAGTGGGCTCGCTTGAAGTTGTGGTCCCCATGTTCACACGTGTGGGAGAACATGGGAGGGAGACCTGACCCCACCGGGCAGAGTTTCAAGTTTCGTTGTGGGGCGTCACGTTTCCATAGCGCAGCGCCCTTCCTCTGCAAAGCAAGGGAGCATGTGTCACTGCTTCCTCACTGGGACAGCAGGAGCAGCTAGACATGGCCTGGAAACGAGGTAACAGTCTGTGGTTCTTGCAGAAGTTATGAAATCTTGGCCTGATGTCGAAAGGCACGTGAACACTGCAGGTTTCTTTGGTTTACTGGGGATTTTGACCTCCAGTTCCTGCTGGTTTTTGAGTGATATCAAGGAGGATATCGCTGGTTTAGGGAGGCTACACACTCTGAATCACACTTTGCAGCCTGGGTGCCTCTGGGTCAGCACAATTCTGATCTGCCTTTGCTCACAGCAACCTGGGAAGTGATGAAATCTGAATATTGGATTCCTGGTTGTAACGGCTTTCACTGTTAAGTGAACTTGGACATGACTGTGCTCCTTTCTGTCTGCCAACAGGGATGCAGCGGTTGCATTATTTCTGTGGGCGGGCAGATTCCCAACAACTTGGCAGTGCCGCTGCACCAGAGCGGAGTGAAGATCCTTGGCACGAATCCTTTGCAGATTGACCGGGCAGAAGATCGCTCCGTATTCTCAGCGGTTCTGGATGAGCTGCGCGTGGCCCAGGCTCCCTGGAAGGCGGTCAGCACACTGGTGAGTTATGGTGTGCGCTTGGGAAATGGTGACGCAGCTGGGGGTTGCTGTGAGCATCTGCTCAGCGGGGACCAACTTACTGACACGTTTCAAGATTCCAAAGACATTTAACAGCTTTTTACTGCCGATACTGAAGAACTTTTTGATCCCTGTAAAGTGATGCTGTAGCTTCACTGGGAGTTGGATGGAAACTGGAAGGGAAGTGTCTTTAAATCACCTTTATGCAACATGGGGTATATACCCAGCAGAAGTTAGCACCACTGTCAGGCTACTCTGGTTTATCCTGCTGGCCTTGAAAACTGTCCTAGCAGGTGGAGATTGCAAAGGAATAGAGATGTTGTCTCTGCTCTTTTTTTCCTGGTGAAGCTCTATAAACAGGGAATGTCTGAAGACAACTCTGGAACCAAGAAGTCATGTATTGCTTTCAGCTCAGGCTGTAGTCCCTGACAGACTTCTGCCCCCATTCCCTCCAGTCTTAATGGCTAGTAAAGTGCAAATGCAGTTAGAGCTGAAATTTTGGTACGACTTTAAAATATTTTCTTGTTCACAGCATGTTTTTCCTCCCTTTCTTTAGAGAGATGCAGTTGAATTTGCAAGCTTTGTGGGTTACCCATGTTTGCTGAGGCCTTCCTATGTTCTGAGGTAAGGGTCAGTCATCAGAGCTCATCAAGTTGGGGCAGGAACTACAAAAGCCTCTCTGAGACGAGGGAGAGTAATTTCAGGGGACGTGGAAAACACTATGCAAGGTGTGTGTGGCATAAAGCTTCCCATCTTAACAGGTGGGACAGCTGCTCAAACTAATAAAGGAAGCCGATGGATCCCTTATGTCCATCACGCACGGATCAAAGGTAGAACGTAATGATTAGAATGTCTGTTTAGCTGCATTACTTTTTTAATATCTCAAGGCCAAAGCCACAAACCATCTGGGATATTCTTTAAGGTTCCTGAGACTACTACCTGTACAATTAAGCCAGAAGATTGGTTGCCACCAGGAAAAACAGAAGGGAACGTGCTGAGGCCATTTATTGCGGTTGGCATCTGTTGTCAGAAAATGACAGCGCTGCTTTTGAATTCAACTTCTTATTTGCCAAGCTTCTCTGCTTACAGGCATGTTTTATGTCCCTACGCTGTAGCAGCTGCTTCTCCTTAAACAGACACACGTTTCCAACAGCTCGACTTTTTGAAGAAGTTACACCAGCGCATACCCGCAGCAAACTCACGCGTTCTGAATGATGACTCTTCTTCGCGAGGAGTTTCTTCATGGCTGGATGACTAGGCATAGAGAGGCAGTTTGCTGGGCACAGATTGCAACTGAAAATAATTTAGAGACAGGATCCTTTTCATATGAAAGAGAGACACATATCAAAATAAAAAGGCACAATGTTCATTTTCAGGGGAGACCCCCCCCCCCCTCCAACTTTTTACTTAAAAAGAAGAAAAGGAGAAGGGTTTCTTGCAGGTTCAACTCTCAAGGAAACATCCTTTAGAAGAGACTGCTGAATGTGACTTTGCCATCCAGTTTCTGAAGCTTTCAGTGGGGATGTGAAGCAAAGTTAAAAACTGGCACTCAGATCAGGAGGAGAAGTTAGAAACTCTTGCTGATGTAATTCTCCAGATTTTTAGGCAACACTTCTTGTAGCCCGTTGTTTCCATTCATATTAAATTCAGTATAGGCTCTTTCCATGTATTTGCTAAAGGGTGTTTGTGCAGGTTAGGAGGGACTTCTGGGAGAAAGATGAAACTGGAGGATGTAAAACTTGAGGAAATAGAACGTGAAAAGCCCTAGCACAGCACACTGTCTGGCCTCTATTTGCAAAACAGTGGCAGGTCCACAGCTGGACGACTTCATCCTTTGAACAGATGTGGCCTTGAATATTTGCCAGTTACCTTGGAAAACTAAATGCATTTCCCCTCCACTTACGTACTGTGTGCACCAGCTCACATCCCCAGTGGTACAAGTGACATAGGTCCACAGATTTAATTGAACTCTATTGATTTACATGAGCTGAAGAGATAGTCCAGTAAGTATAATCACCTCGATACTCGTGTCTGTTTGTCTTAAGCTAAAGTGACTGATTTTGTGGGATAGATTTTTCTTCCATTTTCTCCCTCAGCCTCTCTGGCTTTGCCCACCAAAGCAAAGGGGAAGCCGAACATCAGTGGTAGAATTGACCAATGTAACATCTTTTCTAAAAGATTCTTGTCTTTAAAACAACCTGAATCAGACTTTGAACCCTTGTTCTCCCAGATCCTCCTCTCTTACCTTACTGGCAGCCAGGTTTCAAAGCAGCTTTCAGATACAGAGTCTGTATCCGCTGTGCCTCTCTTTGAAGGCCTAAGGTGTTAGGAGAGGGGCAAAGAACAGCCCGTTTGCATCTGCATTTACGCTGTCTAAACCATCACCAGTGGCCTGTGCTTTCCTCGCCTCATCTGTCCCTGAGGAGCAATTGGGCTAAAGTGAGCAAAGCATCCGTTTTGTCCTGAGCTCACAGCTGGCCTGCACGTATGGTGGGAGTCTGGCTCCCTAGCAGGGCTACCTGGCTGACTAGCCGTCCCTTCCAGCTTAGGGGGAGCTTTAAAGGGTGGGTTAGAAAGATTTGGCAGCAGTGCTAAGGCTACACAGCCACAGTTCTTCATCTGATACTTTGTTATGGTTCTGGAGGTCACCTGTCTTCTCCGGAAAGTGTAATGGAGGTTTACCAGGTACCAGCTCTGCCTTTCTTTCAGTCAAGAGTGGAGCAAGTGGCTTGAGTGAAGAGCTTGCTTGGCTAGTCTGTCATACAAAGGTGGGTGGCAGCCCGGTGCTGTGGTGTCTAGCACTCTGGTATCTCCCTTGAAGTCACGAGGGCAGCTGACCTGTCTTCTTTTCTTTGCCGTTCTCACAGTGGGTCTGCGATGAATGTAGTATTCACTGAAGAGGAAATGAAGACTTTCTTAGCAGAAGCCACCAGAGTTTCTCAGGTACCAGTCTTTGTGCTGCTACTGCTTTTTCTGTTTGTGTTTGCTGTATTTCTTTCCTCTACTG